GATGTAATTCTAAAACTACAACAAAAATATTTGTAATGTCATGCATTTTAACTACTTGTCATGCATTTTGTGAGCCTGGTCACGCAAATTTTCCTTGTCATCACCACAGGAAATGTAGAGAGATCAGTGTGTAGAATTATCCTGAGTGTTAGTATATGACTACCAAAGCCATTAGAAAGATAATAGCCACAGGATTTGTTGCGAATCTCAGTGCTGTGAACAAATGACATCACAGATTTCACTTGCAGCTGGTTGTCTGTTTGGTGTCTGTAAAATCATAAACGTGCTTTTTTTTTAACTACTTGTTTGTGACCAGATGAAATATCCAGTTCAATGTAAAAGAGAAAACCTAGGAATGTTTGTTAGAGAGACTAATGCATGGGTGAAAATGCAAAGAATTGGAATATTATAATGGCAATGTTGTTGTCCATTGGCCGTGTCTACAAATGTGTTAGTGCAGAAGAAAGGTTTGTGTGTGTGGAAATAACGTCTTTCATTTCTCTAATGAAAGAATAAAATTACAGATGTTTGTGTTGACAATGCAATAAAAATCCCCAAAAACTACACTGGAATCAAGAATAGACAGTTTCTTATCTAACTTGTGATCAAATGTTCTTGGCAGTATCATGAAAGTCAGGATGGGGGAAGGGCAAAAAAATAATTAACACCTGTCTCTCAGCAGAGAGAAATCTTGACTAATTAAGTCATGTAGATGAGCAATCAATCATGCTCATTAATTTATCTAATTCATTTGATTCATTTTGAACTTGATCCTTGATCCAGTGATCCAATAATCCTTGATCCAGTTTTTTCAGGAAACATGCCATTAAACACAGATTTAAAAAGATTTTGATTAAGCTTAGCGTTAAGAAGAAGAGCACTTTCCAAAGTACTTCTTAACATCTCCCACCAAGTCATTTCTCTTTATATGTTCAAGAGCACTACAAAGCTGACCCACTGTGAGTACAGTTCTGTTTACAAACATCCATTCAAAAAGGTGTTTGGTGGGACTCCTGGGCTCCTTTGGATTAAAATCTTTGTAGACGTCAGGAGGAATACCAAAAGCTCTGGCAAGATCTTTCCAGTTTTCAATTCCTGGAATTATTTTGTTCAATCGAACATAAAATGCATCCATATATTCATTATCTAGATCAATCACATCTTTCATGAGCTTGTCCCGATTGCAGACCACTGTTAATCAATTGAAAAAAGAAGAATTAGATTCAAGTGGAGCACAATTACAATATAAACAAGACATGAACAAAAGTTCCTTTTTGTTTAGGTGGCACACTGTAGTGATTGAATCCTTCACCAAGACTCCTGTTCTATGTTACTAGGGAGTTTAGGAAAACCATGACGGCAATTGATTGTGTGAACATCACTAAACAAAGGCTCAATAAGCAGAACGGCTTATTGGCATGTACATTATAAATCTTTTTATAGCCTGAACATAGTATATTGCATCATCTGATCAATGAACTCAGTTTCTAAGAGGATGCTTTTTCAGGTTATAGAGCCTGTATTTCACCATATTAACTGTTATGTCAAAAAACAATAGAATAAGCTTTTCTTGTGATCTCCCAACATCCCACAAGGCTTTATCATGTTATAAAGCCAGAAAAAATGTGTTCCACTGCTTATTAAGGGTGAATTCTTTGTCTCCTTTACAAAAACAAAAATGTGAAATACTACTAAACTTTGTGTTGTCTAGAGAATGTGAACAGGGACAGCTAATTTTTTAAATTTTTATTTCCTATTTAACTCTGTGTTAATGTGGTTTCAAGATAGATTTGAAAGCGAGAAACAAACTAGATGAATTTAAAGTAATGCAGGATTCTTACTTGAGTAAAATATAAGGTAAATGTTAAAGCCTGCTTATGAGCCAAGTGGCCCATCAGGCTGGTGCTTAACTCTGTTTTCCATAGCATGAAGTGACTAGGAGTATTTCCACTCCCCCTGGCTGGAATGGTGGTCCATCGCAGGGTTACCCCCAGCACTAAATTAGCTGGTACCCATTTAATTCTCCTGGGTGAAGAGAGGCACTGTGAGGGTAAAGTGTCTTACCCAAGAACACAACACCGTCCCCGGCCAGGGTTGAAACCTGGACCATTCAATCCAGAGTTGAGTACACTAACCGGGCAAAACATAAGTTTATTGTTTAATGGATGTTGTCCATGGCACTGCCATCCTTATTTCTTGAACTCCCGGTTTTGTGAGCAATGCTGAAGGCCTGATACCATCCACCAAAGAATTTTACCCGACCACAGCTTCCATACATAATCATCTGGTTTATTAATACTAATTACATGTGATCATGTGATAACTAAATCACCACAAGATGACAATCCATGGCAGAAAAGTGAGATATGGGGGGTCAGGGGTACAGAGATACTTACCCCCCTATAGATCTGCAGTCATGGAGCTGGATTGGGCAGTCATTCTTAGCATCATTAATTAATGTGTACATGGTAAAATGACCTTAAAATTTGTATCACTTATTTCCACAAGCATGTTGTGAAGTTAGAGCTAGGATATGCTGAAAGTGATGTCCACTAAATTCTTCATCACAAGTTAGAAAAGAGGGCATTTTAAATTCTTCTGAATTTAGTGCCAATTATTCAACAATCAATTAGGCTGAGCAATATTATAATGCCATTAGGTGCTCATGTTAACATAAGTTGACTTTAATTATTTCCAACAGGGAAAAGACTACAAAATAAACATTAAATATTTGTGTGTCAATCAGCCTTTTAAGTATAAGTAATCAATTTATAGAAAAGTGCCCTTTTCTGTTGTAGTATCATACAATTATAAACAATTTTCATGAAAACAAACTCACCATTAAGCAAAGGTCCTAGCATTGTTAATACATCCAAATGCTTGAACTTTTGCCGAATTTTTTCATCAAATTTTCCCACTGTAGGATTTTGTTCTGTGAAAAGGTATTCCATTAGGCTCCTTGTTGGATTGAATGGAGCACAAAATTCAATCACTTCCAACTTTTTCTTTGGAATTCCTAATTTAATGCCCAAATGCTTCCAATGCTTTTTAACTCGCCATAATCTCTGATCATCCAGCCCAGTGATGATGCGGTCAAGCAAATCGTTGTTAGAACTGCAATCCATGAAGTTCTTTATTGGTTCTGAAGAAATTCCACCCTCTGCTTTACAAAAAGTAATAAAAGAATAGAATGTAGGACTGTATATTAAAAAATAAATTAGTTGACACAGAGGGAATTGATCTATTTGCATGGTCAAAACTTCACCGCTCAACCCTGGTTCAACTTGGTGACAACCCTTTTCCTCTTATAACCTGTTTAATTGTTGAATGAGCTTTTTGTTCTGATTGGCTGAATTTCCCAAGGGACAATTTCCAATTGCACAAAGCTCCAAAAATGAATGAAGCTTGAACATGAACCTTCAATGCCATGTTTTGAGGTTTTTAGAATTAAATGCTCATTACTAAAAGGTGCCCTCCCTATGCCAGGAAGGGTGACTTTTTTCCTCATCCTTAGCAACAGAAAATTCCCCAAAAAAGCAGCCACAATTGCTTTTCCAGGCAGGAATCCAATGAATCACACTTTTATTCTCCCAAGTAATTGCTGACATATCTTTACACTCAGTGAGTCACAGAGCATGCTTTGCCCATTTGAAATTTGACCTTTATAAGCTAGCTGCCCTTGGTTTCACATGAGGCTGAGTTTTGAGGCCAGCTGTCCAGAGTCTTTAAGTTTTCTATTTGTGTAAAACTGCAAAAATACTTAAGTTTAATTCCGGCAAAAATAGTAACAAATGAAAATGTTAACAATGCATGTGCAGGATGACAAACACTGTGCATTGTTCAAAGAATAGTTGTCTCCCACAACAGCAGGTTCTAGGTACATGACAAATTTTTGTTCAACAGAACTCATTTACAGAATTAAGCATTGCCTTAGAATAAACACGTCCCTCAATTAAACTGTGGACTAAAAACTTTGATATTAGTGTCATCCTAGAATATTGGTGAAAATCAAGGGGTGCTTCTGTTAGTTACTGTAAAAATTTTTGCACAGATAGAAAATGTACCATTGAATTAGAACAGAACACTTATTTGTTACATCCAATTTTGAACAAGCATCACCTTTAAATAAGCCCTACACTTCAGGCATGAAAGCAAAAATGCATGCAAAAATGATTGAACATACCATCATGGACATCTGTAATCATATTCACAATATCTCCTCTTTTTATATCCCTAAGGGCAGCAATCAAGTCTTTAACAGTGACAACTTCCTCATTCTCACGCACTGCCAAAACCTCCAAAAGCATTTGAGTGTGGCTGTAGTTTGTGCTCAATTTACACTTGAGACGAACCAGTGATGGTGCCTTAACTTCATCTGCACAGGCCAGATGTTCCCAATTAGCTATACAACGATTTGCTGTGTTATCAAGGGCACGAACTAACTTTTCATAAAGGACCTTATATTCAGGGAGGACTAGTTTATCTGAAACTGGAACCAGATAGTAAAATGAGTTTTAAATTAATAATAGAGAAAATGTTTGAAAAAGGGTACAGCATGCCAACTGAAGAAGATGATTTAAACTATAAGCTGCCTCTTCTTGAATAGCATGGCTTGAAAACTGCTTAAATTGCTTTCTTCGTGATATGGCTGGTTACAACTCTTTTAAAGAAGTGTGAAACTCTCCAAAGTTTTTGTTTAGATAACAACAATTGTTGGAGATAGCACAAAACTTCGACACGTTATCCGTAATATTCCTTTAATTTTCGACCATCACAATTGATAGTATGAACATGTCACGAGAAATCGGTTACAAGACGGTGAAAACTGAGAAAGAAAACAAACAAAAGGACAAATAAACAAATGAATACCTAAAAACAAGCGTTCATCGAAATCCTACTTACATTTTGTGCGAACCAAACGATAAAAGGAAGAGTTTACAGCCGCAAGAGCTCGTCGATAAAAACACGTGTGAGAAGCTACAGTCCAAAAACATGTGACCAAACTGTAATTCGTGTATATGTACCGAAACGTAATGCAACAAGAAAAACAAGAACAAAGGAAAAACATCACGGACTAAGTTTAACTAAACAATATGATTGATGATGATTCCTTACTCCTTACCAAGAAAATTTTCATATGCATTGCCAGCTTCTCCTTGAGGAAGTGTCCCAGCCTGAGCGGAGTCTTCAGTGTCTGTGCCCTCTAGTCTCTGTTCTTGGATAGGATAGGGTGTTAGACTTGCTGAACTGTTCTCAACTTGGGGTGCAGCCTCTCCCCCAAGACCAGTGGTGGGAGCAGTGGTGACCATACTGCAAGGAGTAGCAGTAGGGGCAAGAGTAGGGACAGGTATAGGAGTCACAGTAACAGTGGTAGCAGTAGAAGGTTCTGGAGCAAGGATAGGTGCAGCAGTCACAGTGACAGTGGCATTAGCAGTAGAGACAGGAGCAATGGCTGCAGGTGTAACAGTCACAATGGCAGTAGTAGTGGCAGTGACCACAGTAGTCCTGGCACCAGAAGCAGCAAGAGGAGTATGAGTAGTAGTGACAACAGCAGTGCACACAGGTGTCTCATGGCTAAGATTTGCTGCCTCAGATGCTGAAACAAATTCAATGAAATTGCCTGTAAAGGATGATCCAATGCAGGAGGCTTCTGATATTAGAATATTAGAATGATGATAAGTTAACAACTTTTCTTGCTTAATTATCTTCTTAAGGACATTTGCTCATAAGAAAAGCAACAATTAGTCCAAAAACTCTGATTGCTAACTTCAGTTCCTGATGGGCTATATTTCACAGTCTGTAAAGCTAGTGGGGCACAATACTTGAAATTCCCAGCTTTTCCAGAACTTTTATCGAGAAAAGACCAATAATGTGGCTACAGGCTGAGGGAAGGTGTAAGTATCATCTTTGTGATAACTGCTCTGGTATTTTTTCCCTATAAATTTGGTTGAAGAGGTAGCAAAATTTCTCCTGAGGCATTTGACCATTGTACCACTTTCAGTCTTTTGATGCTTTTTCCATCAGACACTGACTAATAATAAATTTCAGAGGGTTTTGTTGGTAATCACACCTCTATCTATATCTCAAGGTTCAGTTCTCAATCACTATATCTAATAGTTACTGCAGTGTTACAAGACATATTACATGCATGGGTATCATTAACTAAGACACTTAAAAAACATTAAATTATTTAAAAAGAATTCACTCTATTTACCTCTTTCTTCCGAGGAGATTCCATTCAATAATTGGGGACCATCATGGTAAGTATCTACAAAGTAACATACAAATTATAGCATTTGTTTGGTATATATACTGTAACAAACTTAATGTAACAAATTCGTTTCCTAATGAAACTCATGCGATCAAATAACTTGACGTCTCTATAAAACCTCAACCATGGCTCAGATCATGGGGATTGTAGAGCAGGAAATATTTTCATAACCTGCCAATAAGGATAAGGAATCGATCTAGATATTAGAAGTGAGAAAACGAGAACATCCATGAGTAGGCACATCGTAGCCAATGCAGAGGTTGTGAAGAATGTATCGAAGACTTCATACTAAGCATACCTGTATGAAGGAGAGGGAAGAAGACAGGGCATAAAGATCCGTCGTCAGCAAAATTAAGGCATCCAGCCGCTAAAAACTTGTCGTCTTGGTGTTTTAGACGCTTCAAGATCACACCACCGTATGGCTTACTGTTTTCCTTGTGTGGAAATGTCGTGAAAACTTTACCCATGCTGTCATCACTGATTTGGAAATACATCTTGTGCGAGTTTTGTGCAACTCTCCTCTGAATCATCAGGTCTACCACATCGAAAGATTTCTCCTTATCCTCCACAAAAAAACACTCTAACTCCTCGTGGCTTTGATTCACGCTGGTCACCTCGAATGGTCGATAAGTAAAAATGCTGTCTTTCATCTCAGGGTATTTTCTGGAGGGTTTTACACGAATGAAAACCAAGTTGCAAGTTCGAAGGACATCCTTTAGATCTGCAATTTTTTTTAGTGGAACTGTTTTCAACTTTTTATTCAACTTTTGAAATTCCAAATAAAAATTTTCCAAGGGATCATTGGCATCGATGACTTGACTGGTTGTTATGAAGCAATACTGGTAGCTACGGTTGCAACAAGGTCCACTTGAACCAGGGGCTGGGTCAGGGATGATCATATCCTTAACAAGGAAGCCACAACCTCGAGTTACAGCCCGCCTCTGACCGGTTACTTTCCTTCTAATCCGACATATACCCAACAAACATTGATCTTCTTTTCTCGCATTGTTCCGCGCATCTGAGTAGCAGGTGTGCCGTATCGCAGCCATGGTGTTTGACGATTTTTCGACGTGCTCTTCCGCGTTAGAGTTGCTGACCTACCACCATACATTTCGCGTGCGATATGTTCTCATAAATAGGGAGCTTAAGCAGGAGAACAGAGAGGGAGTTTGTCTGCGCATGCGCCGGTGGAATTTGTTTGTCGCGATCGGCGTCATTTGAATAGTTTACGACGCGTTTCTGCGGGTTTTCAACTGGACGATCGACACCTTTTTGTACAACTTGTTGAGGATGCATAAACGAGTATGACAAGTTCACCAACATTTCTAACTCTCTAGATACTCGTGGTGTTTGCTGGCTCTTCAGTTGAGGATATTTTAATGATCAAAGTGCGAACAAAACGCGAAAAAGCCCGAAAACTCAGTTTGAGATTTGATTTACTGAAGATCTAACTGTACACATGAGACAACAAACTGTTGATTTGTAGAGTTGATCAAAGACAAGAGTACTAAGCGGCAAGCAAAGAGCACTAGAATTCTAGAACACAACTGCCATGTTTATTTCACCTCGTGGTCTCTCGTTACATAAGATAATTTATTCTGACAACCAGATGAGATAGCCAATCAACATCCCTTCTTCTGGGAGAAAGAAAAGAAAGCTTAACATTTTTGGAGTGTCAATAAAAACAGTTACAACGTCGACGAAACTATGATATGAGTAAGAGGCACTGTTTATAAGTCACATGCCTATAATGAAATCAGGACCAATCAGAAACCAGTGTCAATTACTTAATTATATAGTCATTAAAACGAACAGGAGGATTTATGGATCGTCGTGGTCTATTTACTGCAAGGCTGTTGGGCTAAGCATTTTGGGTGTTGCTTGCATTGTTGTCACTGTTATTTGCCACTTCACCAGGTAAAGATTTGGTAGACGCCGTCTGTTCTTTTGGTGCTGTTTGGTTGGAAGAGTGAGGGACATGAGATGGGGAAGTGTCTCGAGTCTTGAGGTTTACTTGTGTGGGTCTAAGGTGAACTCTATTTCGTCGATATGTGCTTCCATCAGGTCTTTTGACCTCATAGGTGCTTGGGCCTAGTATGTTGGAGACTTCACCAAATTTCCAATCTCTTCCTTCCAA